AGAAGACTGAAAAAAATTGCTAATAATGAGCCACTATTCAAAAAGCACAAGATGAATCAGGAAGTTTAGCAGCCTGATGAGAAAACAGGAATGTAATTTGTGCCAATCAACAAGATTTTATGGAAAACAGATCTTGTCAAATAAAACTGATTAAACACTTCAGTTTGATTGATAAAATTAACTGCATACCTGTAACTTAGGCTTTAGGCTGGGTGTCAGTTATACATAGTATTCCAATTTTTTAAAAAATTATAGAATGTAAGAGAACTCCATAGAGTAAGACCTTGCTGACAGATCTACGAAAGTAGGTATCAATAAGTAAACATCACTATGATTATCTCCAGGGGAAATCTGAAAGAATACATTCCAAGCCCAACAATAATCAGTACTTTTAGTCCATTGGCTAGAAGTAAATATAAAGCCATTGCTGATAACATTTGCAGATGATGCAGAGATTGACAGGGTGGGAAAAATTATGGAGATGGAGAAGTCATTCAGTCTGGATCAGCAGGTAAACTGAACCTAAATAAGCAATGCGTTTTACATACACTCCAATAGAAAGCCATACCTTCACAAACAAAGAATGCCCTTCATACCTACGGAGAGATCATACATTCTGGGAAAATTTTGCTGCTGAAAAAGTTTTTAGGAGTCACAGTGGGCAAATGCAACATAAGCTTCTAGTCTAATGTCATGATGAACTAATACAATTCTAAGAGGCTACGGGTGAGGGAGAGGGAGCACAGAGATTTTCTTCAAGAATAACAGATGATTTTGCATTAATTGGCAAGACGCACATCGGAATACTAGGCCTTGTTCTGTTGTCCAAATTTACAAAAGGTAGAGGATGCAGAAAGACACACAAATATTACTTCAGGTCTGGGAAAAATACTTTACAGTCAGAGATTTAAAGAAAACAATCTGTTTAGTTTATCAAAAAAAAATATAAACCAGTTACTTAATTTTGATATTAAAGTATCTTCCAACCATGTACCAAAGGGTTTCATTATCAAAATGAAAACAAAAACTAGTGGCTGGAACTTAGAGCCAGACAAAATTTATATGAAAAGGCACCTTTTTAAAAAGTAAGAAAAGTGATTAACCAGCAGTTAAAGTGATTATCTATGAGATTCTTATGTTGTACATGAAATGAAAGGTAAAAACTGACATTTTATAAATTCACCATTGTGCTTTTCTGTCTATTATCTGTTGCTCCACTTACTCCCAAGCTATGGTACAGGGGGCAGTACCTACTACTATAACCTTGTAAAGAGGATTGCATGATAAGGAAGCCTTAATAAAGACTCAAACTCAACAATAATTACATGCCAAAATAACCAGTAGCGGTTCAAAAATTAAAAAAAAGGAATCAAACCGTATCTGGTCACTCCAGTGAGGAAAAGTACAGTCCGTAGTGAAGAGTCTACTTTTGTGGAAGTTTGCTCTTGGGGTCAAGTTGACAGGATAAGGATATATAAGGGAACAAGGTTTGGGGACCATTTATATTAGCTTTTTTGTATTTTCAAAAATTATAATGTTTCTCTTCTTATTTTATAACTAGATTTAGAAGGCAAAGTTCAGCCAAAGCTGGTTGAGTCACTCTGATGCACTAAAAACAGCATGCAGATTTCATACCTCACTATTTCTGGAAACTCAAAAAGCAGAAGAGAAAATCTGAAGCTCTCATAGCACCATTCTGTCTCAAAATGAAAAGAATACTTCCCAGAAAACTTAGAAGAGACATTAAACCTTATCACTCCAAAAATTCCTCTGAAATTCAAAATGTTAACCACTGTATCCTACCAAAAACAGTATTACTGGCAGGATTTAACACACTCCCTATACAAACAAGTTCCACAAACAGCAATCCAAAGGTTAAAACCTTCCCATTTCAGAAGCTAAGAGACTGATGCCCTAGTGATAAATCTCTTTCTTTAGAAAGAAAACTAGTGCTTATTCCAATAAATATTTCTAACAGGGTAATACACAATAGATCATTTATTCTACAAAAGTATGAATTTAATGTCTAATATATGAAAAAATGAGTGTTCCCACCTGCCCCTTAAACATATACTACATTCAATGGATGCATCCAGATGAGCAGGGGCATGCACTTGCAGCAGCACAAATAGTAGCAGCACAAATTTATATTGCTACTTTGTGCACCAGCACATGGCCCTGCACATGCACTTTGTTGTGGAACACGTTGTCCCACTTTGGGCAAACTGCCCTTGCCTAGCTCCCTCCAGCTCCTGGTGTGCTGGACCAGCTGGGGCACAAATGGAGCAGTAGAGATACTCTGACCAGCAGCCAAAGTGTCTCACTGGAAGACCAAGCCTCCGTTTGTTCTGGCGCACACTACTTTTGTGGGCACAGCACCATTTATTTTTTTTTGCCCCAGTGGGTTTTTTTTAGCTATTGGGGATTTGCCCCTCACTTACAGCACAGGGACATCTTAATATTCCATGCATACAGTTTGTGGCATTACAAAGGTTTGTGGTGCCACAAAATGCATGTGCCTGCATGTAGGGATGCGGACAATAAATATAAAGTCTACTTCCACAAGTTAAACTGTTTATCACTAGTAAGTGAATCTTAAAAAAAACTAATCTGAAAATGAATTTCTGAGATGAAGTTCTTAAATACTCTTTATTAATATCATTAGAAGTTGTAGAAACAACTTTCTTGTAATATAAAGGCACAGGGAGACAGCTTTGATAAAATATTCCAATTAAACAGTAACTTACAGTACAAAAAGACAATTTTAATGCACATACAAACCCCAAATGTCTCATTCAAAAATATTTCACTAAATTCATCAATATTAATGGGCAATGACTAAAAAATATAAATTGTCATTGTACAATAAATATTTGAGAGGTGCAAATTGAACAAGATTTATTGCTTTCCACATAGTGTTTTCCCTGTAGTGATTTTTTTTTTAATTTCAAATTCCTTTTAGAAGCAGTTTTACCAGCAAATTTCAGATGCAAGTAAATCCCAAACTATACCTAACAGGGGACATTACGAGCACATCTACACGTGCATTAAAGAGCCATGGTTAAGGTGCATTAAGTTTAGTACCTTAATAATAACACATACTAACTAAATGTGCAGTAACCGGCGCTACTGCACAGTAGCACCAGCACACACTTTTTAAGTGACACTAATGCATAGTAGACCAATTCTACTGCACATTAGCTTCCACTGCTTTTGCCATTACATGCTACTGAGCAGTAGAATAAAGTCTACTGCGCATTTGGCATCTCGTGTAGATGTGCCCCGTGGCAGTTACACAACTGCCTCAAATAGTAACCAGATCTGGCAGTGTTTTGGGTTTTGTTCCCCCCTTAACCAATCACACATTCAACCTATTCATCAGAAATTGTGATGATTTTTAAAAATAAAAACAAATCAGTGATTAAAAAGGTTTTTGAAGCAGGGTATTGTTATTTAATCTCAGATATATAAGGTCGTTTCTTCAAATAAGTTTACTTTGTGGCAAAAAGCCCTGTGTGTGCAAGAGCAGGTAAAGCAGTCATCCAGTAGGAAAAAAGAAAAGAAACCCAAAAGGGAAAAAACAAAAAATAATTAAGACCTATATATGTCATAGTAGGTTCTGAATACAAGATTAAGACAAGCAAGCAGAAGCAAATTATACATATGTAAAAATGGATTAAAAGTAAAAATCTAGAACTTTGGAAAAAATCTTGACTACACTCTTTTAACAAAAAACACCCCATAACCAATTTAAAAACCCCCAAAATAACACTTTTGTATTATTCAGTAGTATTTTTTCAGAGTTAAAAATTAACAAATTTTGAATGACAATTTGCTGTTATCTTCACTCGTTTAGGGAAATACGGTTCACCAGCAATTTCCACTTATCTTCTGATGTAGCTTCTGACAGTCAGACTGGCTTTTTGTCATGAAAGGTAGTGCATACCATCTTGTTCCAACTTCTAAAGTTAGTCAACAACCTGCTTTTATACCTTGCTGTCCTCATTTTGCCTTTTTTCCCTTTTACAGCTATTTTTTTTCAGCAGCAATTTCTAGTTGTCTTTTGATGCAGCTTTTGATGGTCGCTGACTTTGTCATGAAAAGTAGTGCATCTCATCTAACTTGTAAATTAGCCAAAACCTTGGTCTTATAGAACTGTTACCTTTCTTTGTAATTGCTCAAGTAATATAAAATATACAAAAGCTTCTCCCCACAAGTATTTGCTTAGGAATATAAGTAAGACTTCGGGTACATTAAATAGTTTAGCAGTTATTGTATAGAAGAAAACCAAAACCAAGCAAGCTTCCAAAAAAGTCAGTCACATGGCCAAGATTGATATTTTATGCAAATTTTGATTTATGGGAGCAATCTCAGGTTTACACTAACCATTACAAGCCCATTCCAACTGCAATTGAAAGAGTCAAACTTAATTCAAAGAAGGGTCAACAGTGAACACTACATACGTTTAACTGTTAAAACCATGGGTGAACATTCAGTAAGTTTCATTGTACTGAATTCAACAGAACTGTGAATGATGCAGAACAAATGCTAACCTGGTATAAACATTTCTTAAATTTAAATTTGGGTTTCTCTCAGGCATTAACTAGTAGTTTAAGAGTCTCTCAAACAGTAACTAGGGACCCAGTGAAATTTTAATTTCCAAAATGGATTAGTGCTGCTATAGTACATAATTTTGCTTTAAAAACTAGTCTAGAGACTTATACACATAACCATTTTCTTTGGTTTATGCTTTACTACACTGGATTGTGAAACTTCTAGTCAAGCTCCTATCCTCAACTTAAGTTTGATTTATACCATTATTCTCCCCTCAGGCCTCAAGTTACCATTACTGTGAGAAGCAAGTTTGTTCATTCAAAGATTTCCT